CCATCCTTTAGAGTTAGGTCTGTAGGTTCCCTCGTCTTTCCATGATGCAACAGCCTGTATAGTCAAGACTGATGATTATGATTGTGGCTTGTGGATTCAAGCACCAGGCCAAATAAGAGTGGACACACAAACCACAGCTTGCAAACTTACCTTTCTTCTTTTTCTCCTAGGTGCTCATCTCCGAAGGCCTAGGCCTTTATGCACAGGACCCAAATTTTGTGGCCTTTACCAAGCGGGAGATTGCTGATGCCTGCCACATGACTCTGGATGAGATGGAAAGCGCTGCCACGGACTTGTTGAGTCGCAAGTCTGCTGGTGGTGATAGCAGCAGCCGAGGGGGTGGAAGCCACTTTCTGTACAGCAGTGATGGGGAACATAGTAGAGCTGAGAGTCTATGCCTTGTTTATAGTGATGAGGAAACCTTCCGTTCCCATGAGGAAGAGGACTTGGCTGATGAGATGGTCTGCATCACCACTTATTGACCAGGAAATGCCCCTCCCAGTGGGGCACAAAGAGCCAGTGGCTGCAGAAGAATTGTCCAAAACGTTGCTATGATGGTTGTGGTTGTTCAAAAAACAATGGAGATCAGGGCTAAGAAATCAAACGCTGCCCTCACATTGGCTGTAGCAAAAACAGCTATTAGAAACATTGGATAAGATGCTTTTCTGACTTAGGGAATCTGCTCTTTGCTCTCTGTCTTCCAGACTTTGGCTCATCCAAAAATGGTCCAGGAAACAGCAGCCTTGTACCTCTTCCTCTAAGAAAGGGTTCTGAGGTTAAACAGCCAGATGCTTCCAGTGAAATTAGTTGTCTTGTTTCACCAAAAACAATAAATGTTGTTTAAAAGATCTGGGGTGGGATGGGAGCTATTTTGCCAGTTCATATGAAGAAGAGAGGAAACAAAATTCTCCACTTTTCCCTGATGTTCATTAATCACAACCAGTCCTTTTACAGTTGCTTTTCCAACCTGGTGCCCTCCAGATATTTTGGATTTCAGCTTTTATATTCTTCCAGCTTCCCATAATCATAAATGAGGTCAACATCCAATAAATGATATTGGTATCCTGAGCTTTATGTAATAAAGAATCCAGAACAACCTCTGAAGTTCCTCCTGCTACACTGACTTGAATTTAAAAAATACATATGATTTGGGAGGGGGGGCGTGGGTGGGAATCCACAGTATTAAAAGGAATGCTATCAGTCATGTTGTAATTGTATGAATTTGGAAGAAATCTTTTATAGAGGTTACTTAATCCAATCTATTGTGCTCACAGAAAATTTCCTACTGTCTGCTGCCGTGTATGGCAGACTAACATCCCAATCCAGCAAATTCTACAGTTTCCCTAAATTAAAAATGGGTAACTTTCAGCTGCTTTCCTGAAGCTGCCCAAGGATGCATTATCAACATTCAACATCAAGCTACTGAATAAAGGTGGTGGAGTTTTCTGCATTAGAGAGGGGGCAAAAGAAGAAGTAAAAAAAAAGATTTTTATCAAAGTCTTCATTGATAAAAATAATTTTAACAGCTTTTATTTCCTCCTTGCAAGACAAAACAAAGTAGGACC